AGTGCTATGTTTGCTTCATCTTAGATATGTGAACAAGCGTTTTCAAATATGAACCTTAGAAAAAATCGTTTCAGAAGTAGACTAACAGAACAGGATTTAGCCTCGTTCCTTAAAATAAGCACATCTCACTTCGAACCTCAATATAACGAATTTTTAAAAATGAAATCGCAATTTCATTCATTCTATTAAATATTTAAATTAAAACTCGTATACAGGATTTTTTTATTTCAGAAATTTTTACTTGGCCCACCAAACTTTTTTTTCTCGATTTTTTGCCCTCGACTATTAAAGTTTGCTCATCCCTGCCTTAGGTATAAATTTTTATGCAACGCATATGCAAATTAATTCCGCTCGAAACTTTGTCGATAAGGCAAGCTTTATTTACTTAGCTACTTTTAACAACCGTTAGATAACGCAGACTCTTATCGGATTTACATCACTCAATGTTCAACTCCATAGCCTATTAAATTTGAACATGGAAGACAATGGAAGAACTTCTAGATTAAGCATTTGAATAAAATTAGAGGTTTAGAAGGAACTGAAAAGCATTTGCGTTAAATGAAGAGGAAAACGAACATATTCTTACCTGATTAACCCGATGAAAAGGTTAACCTAGCTCATCATCCGCTTATCACAGGGAATATTTTACTTCATCACTGTGATTGGCGTGAACCGAGATCGGTATGCACATGAACTACTAGTCGCTGGGATTCGAACCACGTTCACCTGATTGGTTGATGATTGCTCTATCCTCTGAACTATCCCGACAAATAAACTTTTACAAATGATTGATACGATTCTTGTCTTCTGAATCGGTCTCAAAATTAAAAATTGAATCTTTGGACATGTAGACCCGCTTAAAAGTTGCTGAGATCAGTTGTTCAACAATACCAATAATTAAATACAGTGGTAAGATAGGGCTGTTAGAAAAATTTGCCGTTGACTCACCTTGGCGATCTATATAATATATCGGTAGAAATTTATATGGCTAGATTACATAAGCCTATGGTAAACATAATTATTATACGGCAAGACACCATACGAATATGAATACCATAGAAATTTGTCGGACATTCATAAGGCGGATTAACATAGCCTTATAGTTTGAATAAAGGGAACTAGCAGTAGCATGGAGAAAACTAATGGAAACACAATTTATGCATTCGTCATCCATATGGAAGAGGGAACATGGTTGCGGAAGTTTTACTGCAGCTGCGACGATCCATCTCAATTTTGCTTTCGCCCACCAATAATATTCAATTAAGTAAATTCAATGAACAAAGTTCGCCCATCTTATTGAAATTTATAGTTATTTAAAACTATTTTTGATTATTTCTAGGAAAAAAAAGTATTTTAACTTTTTAAAGATCCACTACCGTAAAATAGACAGCAAGGCAAGCGTGACGCTGATATCTCGACGGAGCATTATTCGGCCAGAGGCACTTTTTTTACTTTAATTTTTGTACTCTGTTATTTTATAATTTTTTTCTCGAATTTCTGTCAATTTTCAAACTCCTAAAAATTAATCCATATTCTATTAGTTTTGACATCGTTATTCTAAATTTTTGAACTTAGTTCATTTTATAAGTAACTTGATTTTAGATTGATATAATTTTAGAAGAATCTAAAACCAAATTATTTCTCGACACTACAATGTGTGAATCAAATTTTATTCTTTGTGCCCTTCTACGATATTGCGCTCAATCTTCGATGTTGTGATTAATTGTGGATTTATGAATAGGGGTTAAATCTGGGACTCATTTCCAATTTATTTTTTAATTACCCTTTTATCTTTATTTTACTTGAGTTTTAGAATTAATCTTTGTCGCACTGATTTTAAATATCCGAGTATTATCTGATCCTTTGCTTTCTCACATTTTGTCCTTCCTCATTTTGCCTTAATTTATTTAATTATAACCATTCTTGTAGCATAATTATTTTTATTCTACAAGAACTCACTCTAATTCAATGATCCTTGTTTATTATGTGTAAATGTGTCTATGCGTAGTTGTATGATAAAATTCCATAGGACTGTGAAGGAAAGTTGCTATAGAGTATGAAAAAATTTAATCTCAGGCTATAGCACACCATAATTTTATGGCAAAAGTTCGATACATAAAAGAATACAATAGGATATTCCAACGTAGTTTCACTTAAGATAAAATTTTACTATACACTTTTGCCATATGCGTATGGCAAAATTTTACTACATGTTCATAGCAAAAGTGTATGGTAAAATTTTACCATAGGCAGAATCCCACAGGGATATCCTTTGTTAGATTTTTATGGCAAATCCTTAGCAAATTTTCTTAAGGGGCAGACTTAGGAAATAATAATTGTTTCCTGACTAGTTTTAAATTCTAACTAAAAAGTTTTTACATAGCTCCGGACCTACAGAACAATATATCTCCAATAGTAGAGGATTAAAATTGTTCTTCTCTATTTAACATAATTCAAACCCTTCATCATTACGAATTCAACTTGGTTAAAAAATTCTTTTGTCTTATTGTCAAAAATTATATCCGGAGAAAAATGCTTTACCCTATATCAACAGAAGTATATGGGAGGGATTGTCAAGCTTTATAAAATTAAAAATAATTATAAAAATGAATGTTTAAAAATTTATCATGGAAGAATAAATCACTTAATAAGTAACGAGCATTAAAAGTAAAACATTTGGTGAAATAATTTTAACTTAACAAAAAGTCTGGTGAAAAACATTTTAAGAAAAATCTAGTTAAAGACATTCTTTGTACATTCTTTCTGCCACAGTAGCTGTTTTGGCTTTTGTTTTGCTGCGTAATAATTATAAATATTTGAAATATTTGGAGAGTACTACGTTTAATGATTAATTCGAGATCATTAATTGTCAAAATTCTAACAAAAAAAGCATGCGGACAACTCTGCAGTGCATATTTAGCTTCCCTTCCTGCAAGGGTCATATTTATTTAAAAATTAACGACGAAATTTTTTTTGGAAGATTTCGTTTTGTTTGAAAGATATTTTCAAATAACTATTTACCCATCGCTGTAGAAAATTTTATTTATCTTCTTCAAAAATTTCTTTTATATACTTGCCTGAATTTATTATCAAAATTAATAGAAAAAAGAAGACAAGCCTGCCAGAATCTTGTCATTTATAATTTTAATGTAAAAAACTTAACTCAAAAGAGATCAAAAATAGTTTCCTATTTGAACTATTATAATAAGATAAGATTATCGTTAGCGAATTAAATTACTCTTCTCAACTATATCCTTTTATTGTATCTCACATATACTGTATTCCTCATTTTCAAGTACATTTGGTCAATATATTTAAACTCAGGTAATCACGTCATGAACAGCATATTAAGCATATATAAGATAACAAATTGATCTGAATATATATTTTTTTTTTATTGAAAAATATCTAGGAAGAAAAAAAAGCAATGAGGGATGAGGTGATCGGAGCCTCTTAGTTTAATGCGTGTTTAAATTTAAGCCGAGTTCTATTTAGTATGAGAAGAGATGTACAAGACAAGAAATGAAACAAAAAAGTCCTTGAGACTCATTAATAAGAATCGGAGCAGGAAATCGAACTCAAGTTGGATATTAAGTTGATATGAATCAACAAGGAAATTTAATTAAAAGAACTATCTTTCCACGCATTTGTGGCTTCTCTCTCTCTACATCTTTAAAACTTTTATTCGGTTTCGTTTGATTTTCTAAGACATGCATTGGTATATAATTTTCCATCTCATTTTTAATCTAAAAAGTGCTAATCATGTATTAGAAACTCGGTAATAACTTCTCTTTCATAAACTTTTATTTTGTGAAAAATTAAGGGTCAAGTTTTAAAAAAATTATTATCTAATATTTATGAACAATAAAATTAACGATTTAATAAATATTTAATCTTAGCTCTATTTTTCTATCTATATAAATGAAGCAGAATTATTTATATGTATGTGTGTATGAATTTTCGACATCTTCAACAGACAATTAATTGGTCATGCCTTCCACAGTAATAAATATACTGCAAAAATTGCAGAAAATTTTGCAGAAGCTTTTGATGTATTTTTTACATAAGTAGCGATGAAACTACTTTTTACTGTAACATTGGTTGTTTTTAGTCACGTACAGACAATAACCAATCGAAACGATATCTACCAACTGAACATTCGCTACCATTTTCAGATGGTTTTATAATTTATAATAAGTATAAACTTTTATTAGGGTACAGCAACGAGTAAAAAATTTAATTGAATGTAGAGTTGAAGTTGATGAAATTCCCTGGTTTTGAAGCAAAAATTTGATTCATGAAGCTGGAGACCGTAAAAGAAAAACATCTGTTATTTGAATAGTGCTATAAGAACTGACTTAAGAAAGCTAAATTATTCAACTGTCCAAAACAATTGTGCAAATTGTCAAGGAAGTTTTTTATTTTTATCTACATTCTTTCAATATTGTATCGAATAAAGAACTTAGATTCACGGCGAAATAAATATAACTTTCAATATAAATAAATTAAATTTACAGTAAGCAAATAATGCGATTAAATTCAAAACGCTCGCAATATATTTAGTTGCAATATTATTCGTACGGGTGTGTGGCATTATTTAAAATATTTTTGATTTCTATTATATACGCTTATTTTATTGATTTTATGTTATAATGACTAATCGTAACTTCCATCTATTTAATTTTTGATTTACTCTGATTATAAAGTTTCGAACTCAAAATCTTCTTAATTTTACGAGATTACGTATAAGGGAAAAATTAACACGATTACATGGTTGCCCCTCTCTTTTGAGTGAACTCTCCTTGGACACAAGAAGGTGTTTGAAGACCCAGCGTGGTTTTGTACAGGGTGTTCTGAAACTAAAGGCACTGCTTGATATTAACTTCGTTTCCGAACCCCTATGCCTTCCTTTGGATCCAGCTATTGATAAAGGCTTCCAGATCCGCACTGATCTCTCCCAAGCGGTTTCCAAAAATGAGCTAGACACCTCGATTTTAAAAATGCTTGCTCTGGAAACAATAAGCACCTTATATCCTGAACCCGATTTGGTACATATCCATACCGATGGTAGCCTTTTGAAGGACACTGACAACGCAGGAGGAGGGGTTTATAGCCATCTCTTCTCCTTTTATTTTTCAACTGGAAATTGCACGATTGTCTTTGATGGCGAGGTTGCTGCTATTCGTGTAGCTCTGTCGCAGCTGTACTGTCATCTGAGCAGTTTTGTTAATGCTGTTATCTTTTGTGACTCAAAAGCGGCAATATTTTCTGTGAATTCAAACACTACTCCTGACTCCTTTAACATCCTTGAGTGTAAAAAGCTTCTACTGGGTCTGTTCGGGCTTTCTAAGGAAATTGTTTTGCAGTGGATCCCGGGACACTGCGGTGTAGCTGGTAATGAGTTAGCAGACCATCTTGCTAAGCAGGGAGCTTCTATCCAACAGACATCGAAGAAAGCTGTCCCGCTCACCAATGCGAAGCGCCTAATCAAGAAAAAGATGATGGATCTCACTTTAAACCAATACACAGAGAAAAATTCTGGTAAGATCTGGTGGAATAATCTCAAAGATCTTCCTATGTGGCCAAGACGTAGGGCAGTTGCTGAGTTTCGACTGACTACCGGACACGACTGCCTCCTCAAACATCTCCATCGAATTCATGTTGCTCAAGCCCCTTTCTGTACGCTCTGTGACCTTCAAGCGGAGATGGATGCAGACCAGACTCGTCTTTTCCCGGCACTGGGGGACATCTCTTTGCGTGACCGTTACTGGCGTGCAAGAGATTTATTGGGTTCATAGACTTTTCTCGCCACGTTTGTTTTTATTTGTGTTTGTTTATTTTGTTGTTCCTCCCTTTGTGGTGAGTGGTCTTTTGTAACCTTGGCCATTAGAAATAAAATAAAAAAAGATTACGTATAAGGTATTAAATATATATGATATCATTTTTGATATTCAATGATATCGTATATTTGCCATCATTATTTATCTCAAAAATATGAGTTTATTTTTTAATGTTACCGTCTCGTTAGTCAACCTATTTAAACATTCGTAACTTTAGGTAATATTTTTATGTGTAACAAAAATTAAGGCTCCAAAGTAGCTGAAATATTCCACTCTAAATTGTATTGCTAAAATAGACCCCCAATTTACTGATAAGCTCTGAAATTGCTTAACTCCGGAATAGTGAATTTAGTGGAAAATAGAATGAGACCAAATTTTAATAAAAGTTTAGACATATTATTGAAAATGCTGAATTACTAAACTCTAAATTATTAATATAGAAAAATTGAAAAATATGGAGAAAATATTGAAAATAATGTAATAAAGACAAATGAAAAAAGAAAAAAAATTAAAAATTATTAAAGAAAATATTTTTGAAGAAAGTATTTAAAAAATTATATTAATAAGGCGGAAAACAATGAAAAAGTAGATCCTTGAGGTATTTCGTCAATTTGAATAAAAATATGCTTTCCATTTCAAAGAGAATTACTAAAACGACAAAGATTAATCAATTCCTCAATAATCAGAATAACAATTAAGGATATTTTTAAATTCATAGTAATAATTCAAATGAACATCTTTTAGTTTAGCAAAGGGAATATTATTAAAGGGATCTTGGAAATCAAAAGTCGATATAGAATTAATTTTATTTTGTTTCATAAATTCTAAAATCGGCTGATTATTAGTGATAATCCAAGAAAAAACTTCTTTAATAATATCATAAATAATTTTATTTAAATAGTTGGAGAAAATGGTTCCAGGTTTAGTGAAGTAAGCATTAGACCCATGTATGGGTGTTCTAAATTTTATAGCAATTGTATGAAATTTTGGACTGATAATGTAGTAAGCAAATTGTATATAGCTAATTTTACTTATATAAAGGTAAAATGTTTTTTTTATATTATTATTTAAATTACTAAACTCAAACGTTTTACTATTTTTTAACACCTTATAAAAGTTCAAAATAAAATTTTCTCAGAAAAACAGACTTTTCTTTTTCAATATTTAACCCCCATAGACAAAGCTAACAATAATTATACAATCTTCTATAAAAAAGTACTATGTTGAACTTTTATAAGGTGTTAAAAAATAGTAAAACGTTTGAGTTTAGTAATTTAAATAATAATATAAATTTTAAAAAAAGTTTATAACTAAGCAATATCGTTACCTTATTATCAGTCCAAAATTTCAGAAAATTCCTATTAAATTTAAAACAATCTGTATAATAGTAATTTAATCTGTGTATAATAGTAATTTAATTAAACCTGGCACCATTTTCTCTAACTACTTAAAAAAATTCTTAATCATAGTATTATTAACGGAGGTATTTCCTAGATTATCACTAATGATATATTTTGATTTTTTATTTCAAATAACATTCCCCTTTTTAAACTAAAAGATATTCTTCTTAGTTATTACAATGATTTTTAAGATGTCCGTAATTGTAATTTTGATTATTGGAAAATTCTAATTAATTTCTGTCTTTTTAATAATTATCTTTATAATGGAGAACATATTTTTATTCAAATTGATGGAATACCAGGGGGATCTAATTTTTCATCTCTCTTAGCTAATTTATTTTTACACTATTATGAAAAAAATTATTCTCTTTATTAAATTTGTATTTAGATTTGTTGAAGATTTAATTATTTTTAATTTTGAAGATTATACAATTTCGTTAAATAATATTTACCCGAAGGAATTGATCTTCTTTCGTTATCTTGATGATAATGATAATTTTAATATTTTTTTAAATTTAGGTATTAAAAAAGAAGAAAATATCTGCATTGTTGATTTATATGATAATAGAAATTACTTTATTTTAATGTAAATATACTAATTACTTGAAAATCTAATGCTTCTAAAAACATTTATTTAAATACAGTTTTCAATCAAATGAATATAATTAAAAAAATATGTAGTAATATTTATTGATTCAAAAAACAACTAGACAAACTCTTTCAAAATTTAATTTAAAAAAACAATATATAATCAACTAAGGAAATTAAGTTCTACATAAAATCGTTGAGCTAATTGAATGTTATTATTATTAATAAATTTACTGAATACTTCCTTGTTAACTAAATTTATATTTATACCATGTGCAAACCCAATTCGGGCAAATCCGTGACTAAACATCTGTGCAAACTTAGGAAATCATCTTTCTTTTTTTAAATAAATGTTAATGTTCTAAAATCATTAAAACTGTGCAATTAAATATCAATCTTATTAATTATAAACTTTAAATTATCCACTACAATATTATTACATTGCACACATCCATTTCCGGGAGAATCCATGACAACTAACAAATCACACGCTCTTCAGTACTACAGTGAGAACATAAATACTGTACTGCAGTAAAAGATTCCTCTATTTACGCTTCTGTTTTCATATTTTGTAATCTGGCAAACTTGTAACAAAAATATTTTAAATCATTCTTGAAAGATTCCAGTGCGTATTAGTTCATATGAATTCTCTACTCGATTTCTACTTTAAGTTTTTTGTTTTGTTCTATATTTTACTCACATTTTCTTTCCTTTTTTTTTTCTTTTTTTATATATATGGTTTATTTCGTATATTTTTTACTTAATGTGTTCTGTTTTTGTTTCAATTTTTTAAGTGCTCCTCATACTATTGTATTAATATATTTTGTTTTGGCTATGTTAATACAATATTAGAAAGCACTCCTTATTGCGGATAAAATCGTGTGAGCTGATGACGAGATTATATCCTGTCATTATTTTTTTTCTCAATATTTTAATATTTTTAAAAAATTACTTTATTTTAATAATTCTTTTTTTCTATTTTCAATAATCTTTATTATATTATTTTCTACGTTTTCTCTATATTATATAACTTATTTTATGAGTTTTATTTACTTGTAGCTTATGCGTAGCAAATAATGTTCAAAATGTTGCGAAAACAAGGAAAAAAACTACAGAATAATGTAAAGAAAAGAAGAAAATTTCTGAAATAAAAATTTCAAAAAATTTCAATAAAAAACTTGGGAAATAAGATACACACTTCATCACCTCACACGATTACATCCACAAGAAGGAGTGATTTCTAATAATGTATCAATATAGCCGAAACAAAATATATCAATACAATAGTAAGAGAAGCACTCAAATTTTTTTGAAACAAAATAGAACACATTAAGTGATAAATATCACGCCGTTTTTTTCTTCTAGCCATTCTAATGGCTGTAGGGCATTGTGGAAATAGGCCTCTTATTTTATCAAATACCCAATTATCATTTAGATCATTTGGGATGCCTCTTATTACAATTATGAGGCTTCTTTCGGAGGGTAGGAGATACGTGAAAAAACCAATATTTCTATCCTCTAGATATTTCCTTATATATCTGTGTGCTTCTTCACTTTTAGGTTTGATGTTATAATTTCCATATGATTCTTTAACAATGTAATCATTTATTCCTTTATTTTTAGTGTCATCTAAAAGATTTGGTAGTCAAAGTCAGAGCTGTTCACTATTATCGGTGGTGGTCTATTCTGACAGGTGGTCTATCCTGACATTAACAGGAAAAATCCATTACAGATAATGTTATGGAATGCTGCGAATATAAACACGAAATTTAGTGAATTCGCGAACTTTTTATTTGATCATGATATAGACGTTGCACTAATTACTGAAAAACATGCTAATGCTGGAAATAAACTGAATGTTGTTAATTACAACGCATATAAGACGGACCGTATACAATTCAGTGGGGGCGGCACAGCAATCATTGCAAAGAAATCTTTAAATACTATTCCATACACAGCACTAATACTGGCGGCGACGGATACGAAGAGACTTCCATTCTTTTATATTTGAATAACAAAGACTTCCTGAAAATCACTAGCATATATAATAGACCCTCAAACACTATCATGAAGGAACTACTAAACACCTCGATTGATATGAACTGCATTATAGGTGGTGATTTTAACTCAAAGAAAACCATTTGGGGTTCTCGAGTGGATAATCGCCACGGAGTCAAACTGCATGAACTAGTTAAGGATATGGACTTAACGGTCATCGCTCCAACCTGTGAATGGTCAACACCAACCGGACTTACTAGACTTTTTCATAGTTAATAATAATATTAACTTTGATTGCTACACGGTCACAGAGTGATCATGTTCCGGTAATTGCAGATTTACAATTACACTCCTCTAATATCATTAAGAAGAAAAATATTGATTGGGACTCATTTCATAATATCCTTGTTCTACAAAATGATTATCAACCACCATATAATATCGCAGATATGAATAATAATATTAACTGCTTCACTAATGATATACAAAAAGCCCTGGAAGAATTCACTACAAAAGTACCCTCCACCAAAAACTATCAAAAATTGCCTTATAACATCAAAGAGATTATAGCATATAAAAATCATATTAGAAAACTGTGGCAAAAGAATAGGAACCCGGAAGACAAATTGGAACTGAATAGGCTCATCAAGAAAATTAAAACAAAGTGTACTAAATTTAGAAATGAATGCTGGCAAGACAAAGTTACTAGTCTAAATATCGACGATAGGTCAATTTGGAGAATGACCAAAACACCCAATAGTCCATAAAACACCCAATAAGCCAATATTCCATGAGGGCAACCATGTGTACAGCAACCAAGATAAGCTAAATATCTTTGCTGATACTATTGAAAAGCAGTTCACATTAAATAAGTATACCACAAATACCCAAAATGATGTCAATACTAGTTTATAGTATCATAACTACTTCAATAATAACAACAGCCTTGATATGTTTGAAAAAGTTACTGAA